TCTGGTGGAGATGAGCTTTGTCTGGGGTAAGATGCTATTCAGGGCACATCTGAATATCACAGTTGGCCTGAAGTGATCTGTGCTTGCTGTTTGATTAACACTTGATTTCCTTTTATTGCTTCTCTGCACACACAAAGCTAAATTCAGAGCTGCTGAAAGCCAGGGGCAGAGCTGCAGAGTTCAGTAAAACCCATCTGAGGAGTCACAGGGAGCTGGGGGGACGCTGCTGTTGGCACCGAGTGGCTCCAAGGCATCAGCTCATGGTGTTGGAGAGAGCCTGGCCCCCGAATTCCCTCTGGAACAGGGGTGCAGTGCAGCAGGGTCATCACCCAAGCACCTGATCTTCAGCAGATGGTTGCAGAATTTTCCATCATTCTCCCCAAATAACAAACCAAATATGATTTTTTTACATCTCTCCCATCAAACCAGCATCTGAATGTCCCTAATACATCTCCATAAAAATCTTCACAGCTGTTCTAGCAAACAGCCTGGAGTGCTGCAGGCTTTTATGAGTATTAACTACGTTAAGCAAAGCAAATCTTACTATTGCACTGTCTGTGGGAGCAGCAAACTTCTCCCATCAGTCTCCCTAAGCAAGGAAGAAGGATGATTAGTGTCCTGTTATCATCACAGTCGTGGTTTAAGATGCTTTTACCAAGAGCAGGATGACAGCCCTTGCCCAAAGCAGCTTCTTGTTTTGCTGCTGTTATCATAAGTAACCTGATGTGTTTGACATGTCATCAAATATTTCTGAGTAGTGTCGTCCTTTGAATAATAATTAAAACCCCATACAGCTGTTGTGTGTCCTTCTCTGTTTCGGCATTGATTTGGCAGACCTTGGTCTCATCCCGTTCCTCCTCAGCAGCGCTGGGTTGAGACCCTGAGCTTTTGAAATATTGGGAGGGAAAAAGAATATTAGAGAATTTAAAAGAGTCTGTTGAGCTCTGCTGCAGAGAAAATAAAAAGACTTGATTTCTTGCTGTGGACTCTTGGTTGTGGCTTTAAAGGCTGCAGCACCTCCAAGGCCCGTGGCACATGCAGATCCCCAGGTGCTGGAGGTTATCTCCACCACTGGCTGCTCTATAAATCCCAAAAGTTCTGGAAAACTCCCTGGTGACTTGTGCCATGGCACAGAAAATTCTGCTTATGGCTGGAGCATATTTTCACCTAACCTGCAGCAGTGCAGAGTCCCTCTCTGAGTGCCTCTTTCTCATGCCTTCACCACGGCTGCCATGCTCGCTGCATCCCAGTTTGGACAAACAGGATCCAGTTTTCCAGTCTGAAGGTGGGAGAAGTTGAAATGGGAAAATAAAAAATAAAAAAGTGGAGGAGGGGAGGCTGGCTGATAGTGATTGTGCTGTAAAACTGGATTTCAGGCAATGGGGATTTAAGTTGAATTATCACAAATGCAGTGTGGAAATTTTGCCTTCCGTTAGGAATCCATGTCTCTGTAAGGGATGGGGATAGCAGCAGGAGAGAGAGGATGCAATAAAGCTCCGTCCAGCTCACTGTGCTGAGCAAAAGAAGCCATTTCACTCAGGCAATGCAGAGAGGGCTATTTTGAGAGAGCACTGGGAAAGAAAAGGCCCAGAGCAGTGGCAGTGTTGGCCCAAATTAAAAGTAGTAAAGTCTGTCAGGAGAGAGGCAGAACATCCCACAGGAGGGCAGATGGCAGTGGAGCCCGGGGTCACGTTTGCCTCCATTTTGCCAAAAGCCAAGAAGAAAGAAAACAAACCCAATTGCTGTGATTTTTCCCTCAGTTCAGCCTCTGACAACAGCTCGTTCCTTGGGTGTGCCCAGGTGTCCCTGGCCCTCCCAGGGATGCTCGGTGCTGCTCCAGCCAGGCCTGGTTTGGCAGTCCCTGTGATTTATCCAGCAGGGCTGGCATTTCCCCCTTTGCCTTACCCAGCCCCTCTGGGGCAGGAGCAGTATCCCAAGGATTTTCTGTTAGACACAGAGATGCTTGCCAGGTCCTTCCAGGCTCAACAGGTGCCAGGGATCAGAGGGGCAGATCATTAGTGTTTAATTACAGAGGGGCAGATCATTAGCATTTAATTACAGATTTGCAGAGTTGTCCCTTGGCCGGGGCAGGGACGTTGCTGTGATGCTGTCCCCAGAATAAGGGATCCCTTCTCCAGTGGGGACCTCAGAGGTGCAGGTGATGTTTTTAGCACATCCCCCTCATCCATCTCCTCTTTTCTTCAGTCTGCTTTCTGCTCCTCCCTGTCCTAGGGCATTAATGAGGGGTATTTACTGATTATTTTATTTCCACATGGCCCCCTGGGGAAGCTCAGGAGGGAGAAGAGACCTGGGGCTGCTGCTGGGAGGAGGAAGGGCAGTCAAGGAAGGGACAGATAAGCAGGATGAAAGAAAATTAAGCTTTTTCCCAGTTTGGCAGCACCACATCAGCCAGTCCCAACACCATCACCCTTGGGTGACCATGATCCCTGCACCACTGGGGTGCCAGAGTCCCATGAGGGAGGTGTTGGGACCCCAGAGTCTATCTGGGAGGTAAAGCTGACTCACCTGTGAGTGAGCAAACCTGCTGGCTTCCCTCACTGCCAGCCTCCCACCTGTTCCCAGCCTGCAGAATGGGCTGGCAGTGCTGTAAATCCAGAAAAAGCTGTGTCTGGAGACATGTGTGGGTGTGGAGGCAGCACTGGCCTCTCAAATGTGGTGCTTAATAGGCAGGGCAACGAGAGGGAAGATGATCTTTCCCTTCCCTTGCCACTTTAATCACCAGAGGAAGATTTTTGTTTGTATTACAATGAAAAGGAGTTATTTTGCTCTGGGAGTGCAGAGCAGGCTGTTGTGTGGAGGCTGCTCACCCTGGGCATCCCAGACATCGACAGGCACTCAGAGCATCCCACTAACGTGCCATCCCAGGCACTGATTCCAGCTTCAGATACAGCTAGCTGCACTTACTGGAATTTCCATGGCATTTGAACCCTGGACATTTATCAGCAGCAAATGACCTGACAGTGATGCCCACGCTGGGTCTAACACACCCCCACCCACGAGGCTCCAGGAAACGGGGAATTAAACCAGTGGTGAAGAGCACAGGCAGTGGCACAGCCAGCACAGGGACTCAAAGGCTCTGGGAAAGTCTGACAACTTCAGTGGTTGCCAGAGGTGTTGCAATCACAGCCTTTCCAACCAGGATGGTGTCTTCCAGACAGATGTCAGTTTGGGAAATCTTGAGCTCGTGACCAAAACAGACTTTTTCACGATACCTTTAACCTCACGCCTGCAAGGAAAAACACAGATACCATGTGTGCATTTGTAGAGTTTTGCTGTTCTGTTCATGCTCTTGGCTGGTAGCTCCTGGCTTTAAAGTTCTTTGCAGTTTGTAGTGGCTGAGGGTTGGAGGGGCTCTTTGGAGCTGGTCCAGCTCAAAGCCCAGCTCACAGCAGCCTTTAAACATCCCTACTCACAGGGCTCCTGCAGTGCCTGCAGCTCTGTCACCGGTGCTCTGGCTCAGCAAGTGCAGTGGAATCTGTTTGGAGTAAAAGCCGGCTCCTTCCTGGAGTCCTGATGGAATTCACATGCTGGCTCAGCCAAGGACGAGGCAGTGCTGCAGTCTGCCTTCCCAGGGCCTGCCCATGGAGAAGCAGCAGCCCTGGGGAACACTTTGTCACCCCAAATTCTGTGCAGGAGCCATCCAAGGCATCTTTCTCCAGCCTGATGAAGATGGATGTGAAATGTTGCTGTAGAGCTGTGTTTGAAGGGGCCTTTAATGAAGCTGGGAGGGTGTTGAAACACAAGTAACACTCAGACACCCTGAATTGACTGGATAAGCCCAGGCCTGCCAGAACTTGTGGCTTGTTCAACAAAGGGTCCTGAGGAGCACCTCAGTGAAGTCAGGGCACTCATAAATAGCTCTCTGAGACTATAAAACATGGGACCCTGGCACAGGGCTGGCTATAGCTCAGCCTGTAACCCTCATAAGAGACCCTGCTTCCCTTTCCCAGCCTTAAGCCCAAGACTTAAGGAACAACTTGCCCATAATTTCATGTCTGTACGTGCTCTCACCTTTGGAATGCACCTCATGCACTGGAGACATAGATTAAAACTGGTGGCCAGTCAAGGAATGACATTTCAGAGCAGCACTCGAGCTACAAAACACTTTTCAAATGTCTTTACACTTCCCCTATGCCACCAGTGTGACTGCCTTGAATTTTTTGTGTGTGCTGCTGGCTCTGACATTAATTCCTGGCACTAGGCAGTGCAGGAGTAAGAGGGGAAGAGAAGAGAGCTTGCAGAGGGACAGATGGGAAATGGATATTTGTGGGGCTTTTATGAGGAGGAGGAGGAAGGGCTTTAAGATCCCTTCCAACCCAACCATTCCATGACTAGGAAATAAGATCTTTGCTGATTTGCTGCTCAGCTTTGATATTGTGGGAAAAAAAAAAAAAAAAAGACTCAAAGAAATAATAAGCAGATTAAAGGAATTATCCTTGAGGAAAAATACCCAGATTTTTATCAGAAAGTTATTTTAGAGGTGATACAATAAATAATTTTTGGTTAATAGCTCCAAGCTGGTGAGGGTCCTTGGGGTTACCTGGTGTTGGAGCATGGCTGCCAGTGGCTGTAGGGGATGGATTGGCTCTGGTCCCTGCAGGCTCAACAGGCTGGAGCAGTGAAGGCTGAGCTGTGTCCTCATGGTCTTGTCCATCCTGCAGCCAAAATTTAAGGAGAAAGAAGTACTGAATTAGTGGTCAGCTGAGTAGAAAAAGCTGAGTGCCAATGCCATTTGTTCCTGGGGCTGGGTACAGAAACAGAGAGGAAAGTTTCAAGGCCTTTTATTTTCCCTTCAGTGCCCGAAGGCGACCAGAAAATGAGAGAAGGGATTGCTGCGGGTGCAAGGCTCGGTACCCACATGGCCAGAGCACAGCAAGGGGCTGGCGCTGGGTCCCTGCCTGTCCCAGGCTTAGAGCAGAGCTGCTGCCCCCAGCCCAAACACGGAGTGTTTATCCTGTTATCCTCGTGTGTTTCCGCAGGTCCCAACTGCTTTGCGGGCACCACGATAATCCCCGCGGGCATCGAGGTGAAGGTGGACGACTGCAACATATGCCACTGCCACAACGGGGACTGGTGGAAGCCGGCACAGTGCTCCAAGCGCGAGTGCCAGGGCAAGCAGGCTCTGTAGCAGCGCCCCCGGCCAACAACGGGAACATGGTGATGGTGATGATGGTGATGATGGTGATGACGGTGATGATGGTGATGAAGGAACGGCTTCGACCTCCCGCCGGCTGCAGCAGGGTCAGCAGCAAGCCCTGCGAGGGTGCCACACGAGCAGAGATCGGTAGCTGCGGGGAAGGAAGGGTGTCCCCTGCAGCTCCTGTCCCGCTTTACACACTCCGTAGCCGGTGTGCAGGTGTGTGCTGTGCTGTGGGAATCACCAGGGCTCGCTAGGGACGCGCTGCTGGGACTGGGGAGGACAGCAGGAAAACAGCCCTCGCACCTTCCCGGCCCGGTGATGCCTCCGAGGTGCCAATCCATTCACTGCTCTCACTTTCAACAGTGTGGATCATGGGGTTTTTCACATTTATTTATTTGAAGGTTTTTTGCTATTGTGATGAATTTTTTTTAAGTCTCTTCCTAAGCTGGGATCGTCGGGACAATACAGCTGTGAGTGGAGCAATAGATGGAGCATTTTTATTGTCTGTAAGCGCAGGTGGCACTAAGGACAGGAGAGAGGCAGAAATTAAAAGGGATTGGGGGGGTGGGGGGTGGTAAAAAAAAACCCAACTGGAATGTAACCTGCAGCAGGACTGAGGTAGATGCACAGGTATAGACCGGACAGCCAAGACACGAAGCTGTATCTGTGTTACACTTTCTCCACTGAGTGGGGACAATAAAGTCGAAGACACCTACACAGTCACCGTGCCCTTGATGGGAGCAGAGCCCACAGCAGCTGCATGGGCAGCCAACCACAAGGTGCTCCACGAAAGCAACATCTTCCCTGGCTTGTCTGGGTGGGATTCCTGGCTGGAGCATCAGTGGGGGAGCAGAGGGAAGAGGATCCCACCTGTTCCTGGTTCCTGGGCTGAGCATGTGCTCACCTGCCTTGTGCCATCCTGAGGCTGCTCTCGCTGGAGCCAAGGGCAGTGTTTCATTGCCTTCAGCGACAGCAGGTCACAATTTACATATGGGATCACCCCACTCTGGAGGTTTCCAGGAATGTCCCACAGCTGTGGCAGCACTAACCTGGCTCAGCTGGCAGGTAAGACCCTTTGCTACAGTGGGAGGGAGCTGCCCTGGCTCTCCTTGGGAGCGTCCACAGTGCCAGGGATAAAGCAAGCCGTGGTGCAGCAGGGCTGGGCTGGGCTCCTGGGAAGGTTCCCTGGGGAAAGCAGCTGCTTTCTGTGCCTGCCTGCCAGGAGCAGAGGTCCCCAGCAGCAAGGGGTCCCCATCGGGCTTTCCAGCACTGGGACCTTCTGCTTTCTCAGGCTGCAGCTTCCAGGCGATTCTGTGAGAGAAAAGCCACCAATGTCATCTCCCTGGCCTGAGGCCTGCCCAGCTGAGCACAGGGGCCTTTCCCATCACTGTCCACGCTTGGTTCTCTGCTTTTTGGTCAGTGCCATGGGGGTGGTGGTGCTTACTTTGTTCAGAGTTCAGACTCCAGTCCAGCACCTGCTCTCGACAGTGACAGCAGCAAATCCTCCCCACAGCATCCTCACCGAAGCAGATCAGCACATCAGGCTCCGTTTATACACACTTTTGCCTTTATACTTTTATTTCTTCCCCATTTTGGTGTTTTCCTGGAGGGCAGGGGTGGGAGGAGCACTTAGCACGGCAACTGCTGTCCTGTGGCTGAGCACTGGCTCCCTGCAGGAGCTGGTACCATTTGAGACGTTGATGCCACATTTCCTTGTAAGCTGTTGCCTGTCAATGACTATCCAGTTTCAAAACTTTCAAACAATAGTGTGCCTGAAACTAGTGAGAGAAAAAAAAAAAATCTGTACAAATGGGAGGGAGGGGTCCTAGAAATAATATTTGATGTGTAAAAGAGTATATTATTAAAAAATTATTTTGTTAAATATAAAAGTGTGTGAACCAGCAAAAAAAAAACCCCAGAATTATATATTTGTGGTGTATTTTACTCTGCTAATCATCAGCCATGAGAACCCCATGGATGGGATGGGTTGCTCAGGAAGTGTCTCAGCAGTAACTCAGGAAACCAGTTTTGCTTTGCCAAACCAGGATTGCAGTTTGTGGAACTGCCGTGAACCAACACAGCTCCCAGGCTCTCACTTTAACCCCCATCTGCTTTTTTATTACCTTCACTGGTGCCATTTTATATTTTAAGCCATTTCCTGAACATGGAAATTTGCTTTCAGTTCACAAACTCCATTTGGTACCTCCAGATGCATCATTATTTACACTGATTAGTAGTTACTCTAATTAATTACAGCTTAATTACTGTAGTTAATGTTTGTACAGTGCTTGGAACAAGTACAGCACTATACGTGCCACATATTATTATTTTCTTTGTTATTAATTAAGCACCATCTCCATTCCATGCTGTGCTACTTCATTATTTCCCAAGGAGTCACAGTAGCATCCTTATTGCCACCCAGGAGTACTTTTCTCCCAGCTGCCAGTGGGATTGGCATGGGAAGAGCAGGGGGATTGCTAAAGAACATGGGGATGCTCAGGATTTTGCCTTTCACTCTTCCACAGCACTGTGAAAAAAAAAAAAAAAAAAAGGAAAAAAAGGCAGGTGGAGAAGGACCCCTTGACCCCAAGGATTCTGCCCAGGGAGCTGGAGCATGCTCTGGGTCACGTGAGGGAAAGCCCTGCAGATCCCATCATGGATATGTCTGCAAGGTCTCTGTAGCTCAGGTTGTAGAAGGGAATCTGATTCCCCCAAATCCAGCAGTGTCACAGTCCCATTGAGGGGTCCCACAGCTCTCCCCAAGCACCAGGGAGTCAGTGGGACAAGGTCTGGGACCACAGGGAGAAGTGAAGGGCACCAATCATTTTCTAGGAAAACTTGCACTGTTTGTGTGGCAGAGTTGCCAGTTCCAGGTGGGCAGTGTCTCCACAGCACTGGGGGTGCCAGTAGCCCCAGAAACCATGGCCACCACTTCACTTCTCATCAGCCTCTCTCAGGCCAGGGTGGATCCAGAAATGAAATCCCATCAGGCACTCTCCTGTGTACAGAGGAGAGTACACTACAGAATTCCATCCTCATCCCAATATCCTTACTTTTTTTTTTTTTTTTTTTTTTTTTTTTTTTTTTTTAAAGTTGTAGTTCATTTTTTTCTTTAATTAATCACAGCTCTGGGCCAGCCAGACCCATTAACTACTCTTCTCATTTAGACCTTTCAGAGATGCAGTTGCAGATGCAATTTAATTTGTTGACCCGTGATCGATAGCAATTAATACCATCCCTTTAATCTTGTTGAAAGGTTCATCTTGGGCTTCCAGAGGCTGCCAGCTGAAGGGAAAGGTGCCTGGTACATATGTTATCAGATGGGGGAGCACAACCTCCTCTGTGGGCACTGTCCTCCCCGTGCCCCCAGGCTGGCACTCTTGAAAATACAACAGGTATTGTGGGAGATGGAGAAGAGAAGGTGGATAAAAGCGAGGGGAAGATGCTGAGGGGTAAAGAAGAGCAGGGGGCTTGGTAGGGCAGAGAGTAGGGGAAGGTAAAGTTGATGGGTTGGAAAAATGAGGGGAGATAGAAATAGTACAGCCTAGCAGATGTGGCTGGAAAAGGGAGCCAGAAGGACTTGAACTGGAGCAAAGGAGCAGGTCAGAGAGTGGACAGCTCAGAGGCAACACCTTCAGCAGGAGCAACAGTGAAGCTTGCAGAAGAAACAGACCCAGAGTCAGGAAAAGTCCTTCCTCTTAGTGTTCTTACACCCAAACCTCACTGCTGTGATGCCATCTTTTGGCCCCCAAATGCAGTAGCTGTGTGCAGCTCCCTCCTCCTCCTCCTAGCAGTGGGAAAGCCCATCCCAGGAGCATCACCTCACCCTGTCCTCATTAATATGCCATTAGTCAAGATTGTTTTATAATTACAGAATTACTGCCTGCACACCCCATGGGGAATGACTCAGCTCCAAAGCACAGCAGGGCAATGTCTTTCTCCCCCAGGAAGCTGCAAAGCACGCTCCAAACTAGGCTAACCCTGGGAAAATCCCAAACTTTGGGTACTTTCCATCCTACCAGTGCTCCTGAGGCAGCAGCATGCAATGGCTTCAGTGGCACACAGTGACACGAGTGCCCTGGTGATCGTCCCCTGGCTGCCAGATCCACTGCAGCAACCCCTGTCCAGCCACAGCTCTGCCAGAGGTAAAAGCAAAGAGCAAATCCCAGGATTCCAGCACAGCAAGAGCAATAAAGTGTTTCTCTTTGGTGGTTGTTAAACGGGAAAGAGGGCCCATGTGGATACAGGGCAAATGAATGCCCTTTACATAGCAAAAGGACATGGGTTTGCAACAGCAAGTCAATAGAGAAAATGAAAAATTTATCAAGAATCCACCTTCCTTGTGGTGTGAAAGCTTAGCTTTTAAAACACGGGGGATGAAAGGCATGGAGAGGAATTGCCTGTATTTATATATTTAGGATCATAGAATGGTTTGAGTTGGAACCTTTCAAGGGCCATCTAATATACCATATGGATTTATTTGTACTTGCAGGTAGTCTACCTTTTTTTATTTTTTTCTTAAAGTATTTTTTTACCATGATTAAGTCCAGTACCTAAAAGAGCTCTGCTCTGAGAAGATGCCAGGTCATTCCCCCACCCAGCCACAAAGGGTAATTATGCACTAGGAGATTGGAATGAAAGACAAAACCCAACACAAAAGCTAAGCAAGGCTCCTTTGGAATGGCACAGAACGAGATGGTGTCACTGACTGGTCTCATCCATGGGGGCAGGTGATGGTTGCACCCATCTGCAGAGATGGCCTCATCTTTTGGGCAGGCAGCTGGGTCTTAGCCATGGCTGCTCAGGAGACAGACAAAGCCTCTCTTTTCTCAGGAGTTCATGTCCTCTGACAATGCTGGCTCCCCTGGAGCCACAATTTCATAGAATCAGGGAATGGTGTGGGCTGGAAGGGATCTTAGAAATCATCCTATTCCACCCCCTGCCACGGGCAGGGACACCTTCCACTGTCCCAGGCTGCTCCAAGCCCC